TACTCACCCATCTAACCACTCACATCCACTCACACACTCACCTACCTACCCATCCATCCACTCATCCACTCACTTACCCATCCATACATCCACCCACCCCTCTGTTCATCCATCCATTCACTCATATAACCATCCATCTTCTCATCAGTCCCTACTCATCCATCCACCCATCCACTTACACACTCATCCATCCATTCACTATCCATTTATAAGGGTCAGAATCTACCTTTTCATGTTGGCTGAGCACATGAGGCTTCATGAAAATGGAAAGTTTGCAGCCATCTGTCTGGATAAGCACTGTTTTGTGAGTCAGAAGGCCTGAATTATAAAACCATGTACCTCTGCCTTCCTCTCCCCCTCAACTTACTCAGCTAGAAAGTGGCCACTCACCACTCTGAGCTTCAGGGTCTCTGTGAAGACTCAACAATGGTCTTTCGTCTGAATGAACTGAACTTGCCAAGGGAATGACCCATTTGAGAATGCGACATGATTATGGAGTTACTGATTTGAAAGTGGCTCTGTGAGCTTTCCAGCTCTGGAATCCACCCAAATACCTTCGAGTACTGGATGACTTTCAGAAAGCCATCTGTCCAGCCTTCTGAGAGAGAAAAGAGGGAAGGGAGCAGACGTGGACAGTTAATCTTGGACAGACAACATTAACTTTATGTGCAAGGGAGGTAGAAACTCGACTGCACTTAGCATTAGCTCACTAAATTTCACAAAATGTTTAAGAATCATCCCCATTTACAGTCAAGAATGGAGATTGAAATGGTCCAGTGACTCACCTATGGTCACAAAGCCAATGAGCATCAGCGCCCTCACTCTGCACTTCAATATTTGTGTTCTGGATTCAAAACTAAAGTCACTTTATCCAGAATTGCAATCATCTGGAGAAATCTAAAGAACCAGGACTTTTGCCTTGGTAGCTGGTTGGAATCAGGAAGAACTTTGCTGTTATGCAAGAGACTCAGATGGGTTCGGGATCGTTGTGGTGTAACTGGCCATGTCCTGAAGCTGAGTTGTGGACATGTCTATCTCATCAGAAGACTAGATACTTGTCTATGGCTCATTTTCCCAATCCTGAAAACTAAACGTGGTTTTGCTGGAGGGAGGTCTTCACTGTTGAGCAGTTATCAGACTCCCAATAAAAAGAAAGAAACCAAGCCATAACCAAAATAAACACATAGATTACATCCAGAGCGTTTATCATGACTGACCTGAAATTTGGATCCTTCCTTTGGAATTTCTTTACAATGTGATGAGGACTGAGAGGAATTTGAGAATGCTCAGGACCTGCTTTCATCAATAAGCCAACACTGAGTTTTTCTTAGGGCTCTGCATCAGATCTTTGGGGTATTAAAAACTGGAATGTATAATTTTACGATTTTCCAAAATGCGTTCCGGCCTTTTTCTTATTATTCTTCCTTTTTTACTTGTAACAAATCTGGAAAGGGATCAGAAACTCCAGAATGGTTCATTTGCCTTGCTTTTTTTTCTCTTGCCAAGGGTACCCTGCAGCTGTACTTTCTATTATTGAAAAGGGAACGCCTTGGTTAAATGGAAAACCCAAAGGTTATGATTCCAGCAACAATGGAAACACTTGGATTTATGAATTAGGGGGTAAGGGTGGAAGGAAAAATGGAAGAGAAGGAATCAAGGGAGGAGGCGGTAAGGATAAAAACAAGTTGAGTGTAGCAATGTCTTCAAGACTCCAAAAGAGAAAAGAAAAACCACCCAGTTGAAAGACGAAATACATGGCCACTCATCTGGATGTCTTCAGGCATCTGGATGGTTGGCATGATGCAGATAGAACACCTGGAAGAGGGTGTTTTTCACTGTTTTTCTTTTTTTTTGGTACAAATTTTTGGGCATCCTATGGGTCCCAGATGTGTCCCAGAGGGATTCTAGCTAAAACAAGTTTGCTTGCTGATGAGTGGGTACGATCGTAGCACACATATGTTTTGTTTGTGGAGACTTTTGGCTTACCTACAGGCTTCACTTGGAAAATGATGCACCTAGAAGTGTTTTGTAGAGGCCAAACCCAGGCTGCTCAGTTTGGGTTGGAGAGCTGTTTTTACAAACCAGTCCAAAGCGAAAGGATTTTCTGTTGGGTGAATGACTTAGAGCTTCATGTCTGAGAACCACCTCTCAGTCACAGAGTGCCGGCCTCTCTCACTTAGACTGAGGATGTGCGTCAAGGACAGGATCACAGCTACCTGGTTTGCCACTCTATCCCCAGCACCTGGCACTGTATCTATCACTTGGTATGGGCTCTGTAAATATTCACCGCATGAGGGGTAAGTGGCCGTGAATATTATCAATAGGTATGTGGAGAACTGGAAGCAAGGTGTGGTAGGCAAAGTGAGTTAGATCTGACTTTGACTCCAGCCACGGTTCCTTCTCAGCTGTATGACCTTGGGCCAATCACTTCCCTGAGCTTCAGTTTCTGCCTTTGGGAAATGAGGAATGACAGCTGACACCTTAGGGCATTACTATGAAATTGGAGTAAGGTAACTTAGTAAGTGCTCAGTGAATAACAGCTATTATAATTTCTTCTCATGATTTAGTTCAGCATCCTGCCTTCTGGCCATTGACCATCACTGTGAGTTGCATGGATCCTCCAGTATTTCATTTTTCTTCACATCCTCCAAAGAGACAGAAGTTGGTCACTACAAAAGTTTTGAGACAGACTGTGTTATGGTCCATTATTTCACTTCCAAAAGACACAGTCAACAGCGTCCTTACTGATTCACCTGTGCAAGCTTCAACTTGCTAAGCTAATTGGTTTTCTGGGAGGACTTCATTTGTCTCCCTCCATTTTGTAATATTTGTTTAACATTTATTGATTAGAAAGTGATGGGGAGATGAGGAAAGATTTCCAGTGTGGAGGGTAAAAGGCCATCTAAGGAATGAATCTGTGTTAGGTTTTCACCTTGGTAAATATTCCTAGATATTGCTTTCCCCTGAAGAAAGTAGCTTGAAGGTACGTCTGCTGTGTGATTCGCAGGTGGTGCTACCCTTGTTGCAAGAGACACTCATTCAATGATGGATATCAGGAGGTTTATTTATTTATTTATAGTATTTATTTATTTATTTTTAGACAGAGTCTCACTATGTCACCCTCAGTAGAGTATGTGGCATCACAGCTCACAGCAATCTCAAATTCTTGGGCTAAAATGATTCTTTTGCCTTAACCTCCCAAGGACAGGGACTACAGGCACTCATCACAATGCCTGGCTATTTTTTTGTTGCAGTTGTTATTGTTGGTTAGCTGACCCGGGCCGAGCTTAAACCCACCAGCCTTGGTGCATGTGGCTGGCGCCATAACCACTGTACTACGGCGCCAAGCCAGGATATCAAGAGATTTACATGCTAGATCTTATTTAATTCTTAGCCACCCACAGAAGTAAGTGTTACTAACTTTGATTTAAGAAGATGAAGACGTCTCTGAGGGCAGAGGCCCTGCAAGTATCACCCAGAGTTTAAGTACAAGAGCCGGACTCAAACCCAGACATGTTCAGGCTCCTTAATCTGGGCTCTGGGTTTTAGGGAGTCCTTAAACTCCCTGAACTTGTGTGAGAAATGTTTTGTGAACATGAAGTTTTTCAAAACATGTTTTAGTGCATTTTTCCAGGAAAGAGCCCAGTGTATTTCTTAGTTTCCAAAGGTGCTAATGGCCCTAAAGTGGTTAAGGGACCCTCTTCAGGAGACAGAACTATCTCCACTATCATACCCTAGGGATTAACTAGTACACAGAGGAGGGACATGACCTGGTCATCAAGGAAACGGCAGTGGGCATTAACTTATATGGACTCAGCAAATATTAGCTGGGTATCTGCTTGCTTAAGGTATCAGGAAAGGATTTGGGGGTTCAATCAAGCTCTCACTCATTCGCCCATTTGTTCATCCATCCATCCATCCACCCACCCATCCCTTTGTCAGTGGCACAAATATTTATTCCATGTGTTCCCCATGTAGCATGACATTGAAAAGCAAAGACTTCGTGGTCAGACTCCCTGGGTTCTGGCTGCCGTGTTTATCAGCCACATAAAGCAAGTTTCTTAAACCCTCTGTCTTTCCCTCCTCACCTGTAAGATGAAGATAGTAGGAGAACCGCCTTTTAGACTTGTGAAGACTAAATGAGTTACCTTATGGAGAGTGCTCAGAACGGTGCTCGGCAGAGTAAACACTGTGGGTAATTGTTTCTACTGTTATCGTTGATAATATCGTTACTATTATTTTTAGCAGGTATGTACCAGGTTTTGAAAATATATTGATGGATAAGATAGACAGTATCTTGTATTCATGAAATTTATGTGCTGGAGAGTACAAAAGATGACAACAATTGCTATTTATTTATGTATCTATTTTTATTTATTTATTTTTGAGACAGGAGTCTCAAGCTGTCACCCTGGGTAGAGTGATGTGGTGTCCCAGCTCACAGCAACCTCAAACTCTTGGGCTTAAGTGATTATCTTGCCTCAGCCTCCCAAGTACCTGGGACTACAGGTGACTGCCACAACACCTGGCTATTTTTGTTGTTGTTGCAGTTGTCATTGTTGTTTTAGCTGGCCTGGGCCGGGTTCAAACTCTCCTGCCTCAGTGTATGTGGCTGGTGCCCTACCCACTGAGCTATGGGTGCCGCCAATAATTGCTATTTATTGAGTAATTCCTTGTACCAGGCTCTGGACCAAGCGCTTAACATTTGTTTTTGTATTTAATTCTCAACTCTGGTCTTTGTAGAAAGTGCGTATTATTACCCTTTTCATTTTTGCAGATGAAGAAACTGAGCTTGGAAAGGTCCAACTGTTTGCTTAGAACTCCACAGCTCATGGCTGTAACCATCTCAGTCGGCCCCCTTCTTTTTTTCATAATAGAGGTTGGAGCTGACAGTCTTTCAGACTTCATTCTTCAGTCCTTTGGCCAAGTGGCTGTCTCTGCTCTTAGCTGTCCCCTGGTAGGTCCTGGCCTCATTGGTCTCTCTCCTCCTGTCTTCACAGATGAAGAATGTTCCACCACAGACCATCCCTATAAGAAGCCCTACATGGAGACGTCACCCAGTGAAGAAGATTCCTTCTACCGCTCCAGCTACCCCCAGCAGCAGGGCCTGAGCGCCTCCTACAGGACAGAGTCAGCACAGCGGCAGGCCTGCATGTACGCCAGCTCCGCACCCCCCAGCGAGCCGGTGCCCAGCCTGGAGGACATCAGCTGCAACACGTGGCCGAGCATGCCTTCCTACAGCAACTGCACGGTCACCACGGTGCAGCCCATGGACAGGCTACCCTACCAGCACTTCTCTGCTCACTTCACCTCGGGGCCCCTGGTCCCCCGGCTGGCTGGCATGGCCAACCACGGCTCCCCACAGCTCGGGGAGGGGATGTTCCAGCACCAGACCTCCGTGGCCCACCAGCCTGTGGTCAGGCAATGTGGGCCTCAGACTGGCCTTCAGTCCCCCGGCACCCTTCAGCCCCCTGAGTTTCTCTACTCTCACGGCGTGCCAAGGACCCTGTCCCCACACCAGTACCACTCTGTGCACGGAGTTGGCATGGTGCCAGAGTGGAGTGAGAACAGCTAAAGTGAGGCCTGCTTTCCAACAGACATTTGCCAGAGAGAGAGGAGAGAAAGCGAAGGAGAGAGACAGTAGCAAGGAGAACCCCATGGACAAGATTTTTCATTTCACCCAAGTTTCACATCTGCACTCAAGGCTGCTGGACGCTGATCTAATCAGTACCTTGAAACCACAATTCAAAAAATGTGACTTTATCATTTTGTCTCGAAACATCAGGAAAAAAAACTCCCAACATACAAAAAAAGAGTCCTGCCCCCCACAACCATCACACTCCTCAACCAGCCACATTCACACCACCTCCAGACGTCCGCCCTGATTCCTTCTTTTGTGCTCTAGAAAGTCTTGCCTCATTGAGTGTTTTATCCTAGTGCGTAGTTGGAGTCTTTCCCTGTCTTGGTGTTAATGTCGACATTGTTATATAATAAATAATAATATATTTTTTCTTTCAATTTTCTTAACGGGACCCAGTCCCTTATTTGGGGGAGGTCCGAGACAAGTACGATTCAAAATATATACTTGTGGGATTCCCCTCAAATAAACCCTCAACCTAAATTCGCCACCTGCCCCTTGAATAAGAGAAGTACCTACCTCTGCCATGTGATGTTTCGGAAAAAGCCCCCCTAAGTCCCGATTTTCTCTGATCTTTGTCCTGCCTGCCCCAGCATCACGGCACTCACACTTGTCTCAACTTCCCGACGGAGTCACAATAATGCCCGCCCCGTGTGGCATCATATCCTATTCAGCCCTGCTGTCTTCCCAGCTCCACGTCTGTCGCTAAAACGTGGCCTATAGCTTCCTGTCCGGAAAGCTTGCTTTGAAAAACTTTAAAGACCTGGCTTACATTCGGGCAGAACCCTGATAAGCAGGGCATAAGCTCTGTGCTGACAAGAGTTGTGAAAAAGCAGCCAAAGTAAATATTCTTTCTGATGATTAAAAAAAAAAAAAAAAGCAAAGCCAAACCCAAGCCTCCAAACCTCCAACACCGACAACCCAAATGAGATGCAGACAAAATCCACAATTCCTAAAGAAAGAGACGAGACACGCTCACCGATCATTCTCTCCAAAGAGATCACGCCAACACCAAATGCAAACACAAAACTGTGTTTATTGAAAGCAGAAAACGGTATTAAAAAAAAAAGTGTGTAAGTAAAGTGTAATGGTAGGGTTCTTCAGATGTAATATTTTACTGGTACTATTTATTTATAAATAGGAATTCTAATTAAGTAATAACATGGGATGAAACCCAGCCTGAGAGCTGGCCAAGAGGTTTTAATTTTATTGATACTCAAAACCAAGTTGTGTGTTTTTTTCTTTCTTTCGAATGTGCTTTTGCTTTTTTGATAAAAAAGATTTTTTTTTTTAAACAGACCCTAATAAAGAGAACAGGGTAAGATGTGAGGCTGAGTGTGTCCGAGTATGTGAGAGAGTGTGAGTATGTCTGTCTGTGAATGTCCCTTATGTGATTATGTCTTTTTATGTTGCTAAGGGGGGAGGGTGAGAATTAAGTACTCGTGCCTTATATTTTTGTGCCAATTAATGCCTAATAAATACCATGTGCTTAAAACAAGTACAAGGGACTTGAACACCCATTTTTTTTTTTCCTGTTCTTTCTACTGACTGAATGGAGGGAATACCAGGTGAAGGAAATAGGAGCTGTCTCAGCATGTGAATTCATCAGCCCATCTGCCTTTTCTTGCTGATCTCAGGGGTATTTCAGATCTGTTGTGCTGGAGAGTGATGAAGCTGAATATGTTTACCCACTGGTCTCTATCCCTGGAATCAAGTTATTTGTTTGAATTTGTGTCAGCATTGGAAAACAAAATGATTTAGGAGTCCCACCTGATCTAAAAATGGTCTGGGTCATACCATCCCTAACACCCAATGCCTGTTTTTTCTGAAGGACCTTTTTCTCTGAATGAATTGTTGGAATCGTGTGTTCTGGGAGTCCCGATGCAAACAACTTTATAGACTCTCGGTGGACCAGATGTTTATTCAATTGCCATGAATTTAGGATCTGTGAGTGTGTCCTCTCTAAACACATGTGGGACAGAACAGGGCGGCAAATCGGCGCTCAGTTAGTGCTGCACCATTTTTCCCCTGTTTTGGTAATTTTTGTGCCTACACCCTCAAATTATCCCAAGCCATCAAATTTGTTACATCCACTTAAAATAGGAAAAACTGGCTTGTTGAGTACAAATTATTCACTTAATCATGTCCCCCCACCCTCGGGGACCTTTCTGAGGCAAAGAACCCCTGAGAAGTGTGAATTAATTATAAAGAAATGACAATTCAACTTCTTCCAAATGCAGTGGAAAAACTAGGTCAATGGGTTTCCTGTTCCCCAAGGGACCAGATTAGTAAAGTTTCACTGAACAAGTTCTGACTATCCTCTAAATAGATTTTTTTTCTGATAGGTTTGATTTTTTTAAGTTGCCTTTGATGAAATTACCTTTGAAATTAATTTTATCAACTATACATGACATTGAGTTGCTCTTATTCTTTCAGAAAAACATCATCCAAGTAGCAAATTAACATGCCCACCCTTACTACTCAAACAGTTGTACCGTTGGAAAATCATTAAAATTATGTCCACAGACAAGGGATACCGTCATTTTGTAATTGATGACAGATTCAACTCTTTGGGTCCAAAACATTGGTAATAATGGATCTGCTTACTGAATCGGTAGAATTAAGGATGTAGTAGCCCAATGTTCATGTGGTTTTATTATTGTCCAATGTTGAGAGACACAGCACAGATTGTAATATTTCTAGAATATATTTAGGGGACGCTTGCTCTGGAATGGATGTGTAGTAAACACTGGGCACAGGGCAGTGAACCAGGTGATAAGGGCTATGTCCTCCCTAAACTTATGGTTTCATCACTTGCAGGGGTGTCCAACCTTTTTTCTTTTTTCTTCACTGCAAATTGGAAGAATAAGAGTTGTTCTGGCCACACGTTAAATGATGAGCTAAACAAAAGCTCCGTACATACTCTTCCTGATGTCCAACACTATAGGTAAGTAGAACAGTCCTCAAAGAAATGAGCATGTGGCCCACAGCCCAAGGTTGGACACCCCCAGTTAGCGAGCTCACTAGTGAGATCACTCCTTAGGTGATTGTTTGGGGCATTGATGAACTGAATGGTGGGATCACACCTGTGGTGCATATTGCAAGGGTACATGTCAGATCTATTAAGTATAGAGTATAAATGTCTTAACACAATAATTAAGTAAATGAGGTGAGGGATATATTAACCAGTGCGATGTAAGCATTCCAAATTGTATATGAAAGCAGCACATTGTACCCCATAAATGCATAAATGTATACATGATCTACCTCTTTATGATTTAGTAAAAAAAACCCAAAGAGGCAATAACAATATTACATAATATTTCAATATATCAGTGATTCTTGGTGCCAAAAATTTGATACCAAAGTGCTGATACATTAAAAAAAACGGTGGGAAGAACTGCCCAGGCAGCACGCTCAGTGCCACAAAGGGATAAGACCAGGTTCCTTCCCTGATCTAGGGGAGGCAACTTTTGAGCATAGCCCTAAAGATGAGTAGGAATTAATGAAGTCAAAAGTTGTGAGGAAAGGCACTCCAGGCAAACACGTATGAAGGTCCTATCATGGGTGGCAGGTACCTTTCTGTGTGGATGACCTCCTAATTGTGTTTGGTCATTTTCCAGTGAGTTCCCACAGCTGCACAGGACAGACTCAGGAGGTGGCCAGCTTCTTTGTACCTGGGAGAGAAGCATTATGTCATCCTCCCAGCTTACTGGTCCACTCTAGCGTGAGACTCAAAGTTAGGGAGAAGAACTTTCAAGAGGGTCAGTTCATTAGTGTTCTTGGGCCCAGAGAAGTTGGGAATTCCCTCCAGATCACACAGCTGGTGAGTGGCAGAGTTAGCATGGAACCCAAGTGAGTCTAAGACTTGGTAGCCTCCTCCTCTGTTAAAAGGAGATATTGTACCTGCTTCAAAGGACTGTGAAATAATCTGTGGAAATGTCCAGTAAACAGACAGACTCTCCTACTTAACATCAGAAGGTAATACATGCTTGAAAAGAAATATTTGAATCAATGAAATGCAAATTAAATGTGATATTTTAATCCAGTGACTTAGCAAATGCATATTTAAAAAAATAATGATAACCTATTGCTGCCATTTGGATTAAATAAGATGAAACCTTTTGGGAGGAGAATTTGGTAAAATATTTCAAAAGATGTATTGTGTGACTCATTTAATCTGATAAATCCGCTTTGAGGAATGGTCCTAAGGAAATAATTAGAGATGTACATAAATACTCCCTGGGAAATTCATCGTGACTTTTAAAAATCATGAAAAATTGGAGATCGCTTTAATGGCCAATAATGTGAGGGTGATTAAGCAGATTAGTATATGTCCATATGATGGAATACCACATGGCCACTAAGACTCTTCTTTTTTTTTTTTTTTTTTTAAGTCAGAGCCTCAAGCTATCCCCCTGGATAGAGTGCCATGGCATCACAGCTCACAGCAACCTCCAACTCCTGGGCTCAAGCGAGTCTCCTGCCTCAGCCTCCCAAGTAGCTGGGACTACAGGCGCCCGCCACAACGCCTGGCCATTTTTTGGTTGCAGCCATCATTGTTGTTTGGCGGGCCCAGGCTGGGGATTCAAACCCGCCACCTTAGGTGTATGTGGCTGGCGCCTTAGCCGCTTGAGCCACAGGCGCCGAGCCTAAGACACCCATTTGTGAAAAAGATTTTTATTTATTTATTTAGTTAGTTTTTTCAGACAGAGTCTTGCTATGTTGCCCTTGGTAGAATGCCGTGGCGTCACAGCTCACAGCAACCTCCAACTCTTGAGCTTAAGCAATTCTCTTGCCTCAGCCTCCCGAGTACCTGGGACTACAGGCCCCTGGCACAATGCCCGGCTATTTTTTTGTCGTAGTTGTCATTGTTGTTTAAAAGGCCTGTGCTGGGTTTGAACCCGCCTGCCTTGGTGTATGTAAAAAAGATTTTAAAAAGGTATTTGAGATGCACTGCAAATAAAAGAAGCGAGCTCCAAGTAATTTGCACAGTAGCTTCTTAATTTTATTAAACACCCTGACATTCATTTATACTTAGAAGATAAAAACTCAGAACAATAACAGTGGTGGGATCATGGATGTATGAATTTTCTTTATGCTTTTTAGTTATTTCCCCATTTCCTTTGTGATGAAGGTGAATTATCCTTTGTAATTAGGAATAGAATTAGTAAACTAAAGTCTAGCTTGTGTTTTGGTCATTGATCAAAATGAATTTGTGAGGAACGTGGGACACTTCTGCTTATGTTGAGGAAAAAGGGATGGTGCTCCCATAGTGGGTGACATTGGCCCGGCCAGAGTGTTCCATTGTCTAGATATTTCTCTTTGCACTCTTTGGGGTTGCTACTTGTTAGCTTCCCTGGTCCCCTGGGTGAGTTAGGCTGTGGTCCTGGGGTTGGTTAGTAATTCGTTTTAATGAACACGTGTTGGACCAGGCACTTACTTATCTCACCTTTGTTCTCTAATTGACTTGGGTTATAAAATTCACTCTGCAATTTACTGCTTCTGTGACCTTGGGCCAGTCACTTACACTCTTTGAACTTCCATTTAATCATATGTGGAAAGGGAGTAACATGAGTCCTTTCCCCAGGGAGTTCTGGTTCTGGTGAAGATTCCAGACAATGAGCATAAAGTCCTTAGCACAGAGCCCCTTACAGAGGAAATGCTCAATGACTGTTCTCTAATCAAAAGATTAAGTGGTATTTACCATTATTAATTCTTCTCTTTCTCCTCCTCCTCCTCTTTCTTCTCTTGTTGGGAAATTTGGTCCTGTGATCTTCTATTATTTTTATAAGACATGTAAGCTCAGCGGGGTGGGGGTGGGGGTGGGGTGGGGGAATGTAGAAAAAACACCACCACCATTATCATCATCACCTTCAAAAATAATTGAAACACAGCTTTCCTACACAGGCATCATCTTAAAAATATGATTGAAATAGATGGTTTTGTAAATAAGCATCAACCCTAGGTCTCCATGGCAACGAAGAGGCGGCAGTGATTTCTACATCCCTAGAGGCTGGTCCTTAGCACCTTTTCTTTTTCGACATTAGAATGCACTTCTATTCCACTTAAAGCAAGGAGTCATGGTGTTATTCCTAGGGAGAATGTTGATGTAAGCACACTGGGTCTCCTAGCTTAGAAACTTGAGTGGTAGGATAGGGAAGACAGCCTGGTGTGCAGGTTGAAGGTTATTCCTGACAGTTTTCATATCTGACTGAGGTCCCACCTACTATTGATATTAGTATTGGTAATAGTAATAATAGATCTCATTTATGCAGTTGTGTGCCACTTCCTACACTAAGCCAGTTCCTATGGTGACAGTACAAGACCGACCGCCCAGCTTTTTTTTTTTTTTTGAGACAGAGCCTCAAGCTGTCCCCCTGGGTAGAGTGCTGTACCGTCACAGCTCACAGCAACTTCCAACTCCTGGGCTTAAGCGATTCTCTTGCCTCAGCTTCCCAAGCAGCTGGGACCACAGGTACCCGCCACAACAGCTGGCTA